TTGTGATGAAAACACCTGAACACAGATCTTTAACCCTCCCACTGTCCTAATGGGTGTGACCCAGCGAGGAAAGTTGACCATCCAAACTCTGAAAAGCCTGAATGTCTGCTCACTCCTCGCCCCTGCCACGTGGACCCAAGGGATAAACCATCAAACCTGCTCAATGGTCAACTTTCCTCGTGGGGTCACACCCATTAGGACAGTGGGAGGGTTAAAATACCGACAGGAGCCCCAAAAATAAATGTTACACTAAGATGCATCGCGTTGTGTCCACCAGGTTATGGGGCCGAACGTGCTGTGGTTCGTGTTTTCCACCCTGCTTGGCTTCGTCCTGAGCTCCTTCAGCGATCGCCTCCTAAATGTCACCCGGCGCTACAATTACTGTGTGCTCGGAGCTGGACCTGCGGGTCTGCAGATGGGCTATTTCCTCTCCAAGGCCAGAAGAGATTACGTCATCTTGGAGAGGAACGCGGGTCCAGGCAGTTTCTTCAACACGTGAGAAATTCGTGTGGGAAACTTCAGCACGCCGGTCATCTTGCATCGCGTTTAAAAACATTTGTTTTCTTTGTGTGTGTTTGAAGCTATCCCAGACACAGGAAGCTAATCAGCATTAACAAGATCCACACGGGAAGGCAGAACCGGGAGTTCAACCTGCGTCATGACTGGAACTCTCTGCTGAGCCATAAACCGGATCTGCTGTTCAGGAGGGTGAGCGGCGACTTTTACCCGCCAGCTGATGTCTACCCTCTTTACCTGTCCATGTTCGCTAAAGAGCTCGGGCTGAAGGTAAGGATGTCTGAATTACTAGTCTATCAGCGATCACCAGCTGACTAGAAGATAACTTCCTTCAGTTAAACTCTGAAAAGACTGAATGTCTGATCTTTGCCCCTGAGAGCACGGTTCCCCTGATTAGTCTAAAACTTGGTCATTTATCTTCTGCCGTCAAGACAAACTGGAAGAATTTGGGTGTTTTGACCAATCAATGTCTCTTGAAGGTCACTCAAAATCGTTGGTCCAAAACTGTTTAAGAAATATCTCCAAACTGCGAAGGTTGGTGTCAAAACATGAACTTGAAATGGTTCTCCATGCCTTTATCTCCTCCCGTCTAGATCACCGTAACACACTCTTCACATGTTTTAACAAAAAAGCCCTTGACCGCCTTGAGTTGGTCCAGAGCTCTTCAGCGAGGCTCCTAACTGGAGCAACCAGAAGAGCACACATCACTCCTATTCTGATGTCTCTGCACTGGTTACCCGTTAACTTTAGAGTTCATTTTAGAGTCCTGACTAGAACTTTCAGGGCTCTACGTGGTCAAGCTCCTCCCTACATCACTGAACTGTTAAAGCATAATGGGCTCGACACACGGGAGGCGACATCGCCTCTCCTCCATTCATTTTCAATGAGACATGCGCTACAAAGCGATAATCGCGGGTCTCCCTCCTACCAAGCAAAACGCTAAAAACATGCGTGTGAAATTTTGCGCTCGTGCACGTGTCGTGCACAGGCGACCCAGCGACGCGATCCCAACAAGTTGAAACATTTTCAACTCTTTATCGCTGTCACTAGGACGAGGACCAATCACCGGAGGTTTCATTCACTGACCAATGAGCGGACAGGAAGCTCCGCACATCTCTGAGCAAACATGGAGGAGAAGTTGATTATTATTATGTTTTATAGTAAAATCAGAAGTAAGATTTCACATAACTCTAGCAGCACCTTGTGAAACATCATATCTACCACTTTATTAACTCTGAACCGCTTAAATAACCTTAATTCCCTCCAACCTGACACAGCCAAACAAAACAACGGAAGTTTCTATTTCGCCATGGAACAGAACGCGTCGACAGCTTTGCCGCGGGTCGCCTCCCGTGTGTCAGGTAATAAAAGCAACGGCGACTAATTTCTCTGATCGCGGTCGTTTGTCGCCTCCCGTGTGTCGAGCCCATAAGACGGATGGACTCTGAAGGAGTCGTAGCTGCGACAGCTTTGCAGCGTGCAAACAGGTTTGACAGTGTGTCAGAGAGATGTTTCAAAAGAGGCTGGTACCGAATTGGCCACTTCGGAGTGTCAGCTGGAAAACTGAGTAACTCGGCAGTCACTAGTTTTAATGTCAATGTCAAGTTTATTTATATAGCACATTTCCAACAATCGGACACTGCACAAAGTGCTGTACACAGACAAGCAGTAAAAATGAAATGGTAGAACACTGAGAACCTTCCATTAGGCCCTAAAATTAATTAACAATAAAATCAGTTAAAAGCAAGGGCAGAAAGGTAGGTTTTTAAAAGAGACTTAAAAGCAGAAAGGCTGTTAGCAGACCTAATCGGTAGGGGAAGGCTGTTCCAGAGCTCGGGAGCGGCCACAGAAAAGGCTCTGTCGCCTCTGGACTCCAGCCTAGACTTGGGAACAGATAATAGATGTAGAGAGGATGATCGGAGGTTTCGTTTGGGGACATGAGTGTTTAAAAGTTCCGACAGATAAGGAGGGGCCAAATTGTGTTGTGCCTTAAAACAGATCAGTAGCATTTTAAATTGAGTCCTGTAAGTGATCGGGAGCCAGTGAAGAGCTTGTAAGACTGGTGTTATGTGATCCCTGCGCCTCCTACCTGTCAGCAAGTGAGCTGCCGCATTCTGAGCCACCTGCAAGCGGTGAATTGACGACTGCTCCAGTCCATGGTATAGAGAGTTGTAGTAGTCTAGTCTCGACATGATTAGCAGGTGTAAACCTTTTCAAAGTCTTTTGAGTGGTAAATATGGCTTGACTTTACTAAGAACACGCAAGTGAAAGAACACACTCTGGACCACAGAACGTATCTGTTTGTCAAGTTAAAAATGGCCATCAATGAAAAACCCCAGATTTCTTGCCTGAGACATGCAAAAGGATTCTAAAGGGCCAAATACACTATTTACCCCGTGCAACAGCCCAGGGTCCCCAAAAACGACAATTTCCGTCTTTTTGTCATTTAAAGTGAGAAGGTTAAATTGTAGCCAGTTTTTAACATCTTTTAGACAATTCAGTAATTTATCAAACGATGGCCTTCGAGAATGTAGTGGGACTTATATCTGCACATGTCCGCAAAGAAGTGATACGAGATGCCATGCTTATGGAAGATGGCGCCAAGAGGCAACATATGCAACGAGAACAAGAGCGGGCCCAAAACCGAACCTTGAGGGACACCATGTTGTGACTCTGGCGAATCAGAATTTGACATGTTTGTTGATGTTACCAACATCACCAATGTTCTAACTCTGTGGATAAAGAATCTTTAAACCTATGTGAGATGTGACCTTAACCGTAATTTATATGTTATGGACATTTTGTCTGAGTTTAGATAATGATTCACTTGTTAAATCAAACATTACTGATCATGACATATAAATGTTTCATCGTAATAATAATATTCATTTCACTTCACTGAATTAGGCACAGATTATCCAAACATTAATATTATTATTCATATAACATCTGGTTCATTCAACCTTATGATTATTTATGATTATTTAACTGATGAGTTATAAAAGTTCACTTTTCATTCAGTGTGTGGAATCCTGCAGTCTTATCAGAAGAAAGCTTGTTTGGAGACACAGGCTGACAATCTTGTCCTCCTGGAATGTCAACACGCACTGCAGTATCCTCTGGCTGGTAGAAGATAGAATTTAAAATCCGCTTAGAAAATGGAATTATATCTGTCGATGCCCGGTCACTGTGTAGGTCAACACGTAGGTGAAAAGTGACCCTTTCTGGACGTTACAAATAAAATGTACTTACTTAAGGTTCGTTATGGGGTAGACGTCGGACGGATCAGGTCGGTGCAGTCAGCCGCAGGAAGGAGCTACAGCCTCACTGATCAACACAGCACTGACTACACATGCAGGTACTTCACAGCACCCTCAAACTTAAAGGTTGTATTGAAGGTTGGGTTGGGTTGTAATTGAATTCTCTTTGCTTTAGCGTCCTCTTGGTTGCGACGGGTTTGTGGGTTCCTCAGAAGGTGGAGTTCGTTGGCTCCGATCTGGTTGAGGGCTATGAGTCCATCTCCACTAACCCTGAGGACTACAGGGATCAGGCTGTGCTCATTTTGGGGAAGGGCAACTCTGCTTTTGAAACCGCTCAGAGCATCTTGGGCAAGGCGAGTCGGGTCCACATGCTCAGCTCCAGTCCTGTTCGCCTGGCCTGGCAGACCCACTACGTCGGAGATCTCAGGTAGATTTTCCATGCAAAAGGATTTATTCACCAGTTACTTTTCTAAAGGATAAACAGGAAAACGTCTGTTTCTGCTCGCCAGAGCGGTGAATAATGAGCTTTTAGACACGTATCAGCTGAAGTCCCTCGATGGACTGGCAGAGACGCGGCTGGAGAAGATAGCTGTTGCTCAACAGAAGGAGCGAGGGAGGAGGAGACAGAAGCACCAGTTGTATCTGACTTTAAGGAAGTACCTGTTAAACAGGACTGAGAGGAACAGCTCCGAAGTGACACGAGAAGAACTGGCAGGGCACCACATCGACAACTTCCCCACTCGGAAGCCCTACGACCGCGTGATTCGGTGCCTTGGATTCCGGTTCAACTTCAGCATCTTTGACGGGTAAAGACAAGGCCAGCGCCTTTCTTCTTTGGGGCTTCGTGATGTTCTGACGTGGTCTGATCCATGAAATCTCCTCAGGTCGGCTCGCCCTCCGAACAGCAAAAATGCGAAGGGCCGGTTGCCAGGGGTGACAGCCTGGTACGAGGGGAAGAAAACTCCGGGTTTGTTTGTCTTGGGAACAGCTTCTCACTCCAGAGATTACCGCTCGTCTGCTGGCGGCTTCATCCACGGCTTCCGTTACACAGGTGACCTCGTTTCCAGACGTTTTCCTAACAGCCCTTCCTCCGCAGCAGCTCTGTCAGTTCTAGTCATCAATGACCTTAAACGAGCCTCGTGTCCCATTTTTCAGCCCGAGCCGTGCATCGTGTTCTTGAACACCGTTACCATGCCAACCCATGGCCATCAACCAAACTCTTGACAACACAGTTGCTGTCGTGGATTCTGAAGCGGGTGGGCGAGGCCTCAGGACCGTACCAAATGTTCGAGGTGCTCGGGGACGTTATTCTTCTTCGAGGGTGAGCAGCAAAGTTTTTCTTCACGAGGAAAAGTTCGCACTACTTTGCTTCAATTGTGTTAGTCACAACTTGACTCAAAAGATCCCGAGAAAGAAGTAGACACGCCGAATGTTGGATAATTTAATGAACAAAGCCAAAAACAAGCTTTTCGAGACGTTTCTTTTATTCTTTTGTTTCCTGGAACCAACCAGGTGGTGATCCGAATAATCCCTAAGATTCAACCCACAGTGGTGACTGCTTACGGCGCTCGCAGATGCCAACTCTTATTATAAAGTCCTCTAATAAAAAAGAGCCAGACTGTTTGCGAATGACCCATCACCAGTTGGACTCAATAGCAGGTATTGGAAAGAATCTGGTGATACGATAAACATCGGGGGGGGGGGGGGGGGGGGACTATTTATCACGATACTGAATCCAGATAATTGTTAATATTTCTCAGATTGAATTTAAATGGAAAACTCAGGCCACACCCTTCCAAGTCACTTCCAGTGTTTTCTTCAGGTCCGGGTGTTCCTTCAATTTAATGCAATTAAATTTAAGTTTATTTATAAAGCGCCAAATCACGACAAGAGTCGTCTCAAGGACCTTCACACAGTAAACATTCCAATACAGGTCAGGTCATTTAGCCAATCAGAAAAACATTTACTATATAAGGAACCCAGCAGGTTGCATCGAATCAATGGGTGTCTCTCAACGTCAAGGCGTCAGGCCTTGTGAGGCGATGTCTTGCGAGGCCAGGCGCCTTGCTTACGAGGACACTGTCCTTCCTTGGTCAAAGAAAACGGTTAAATGGAACAGACTTGCATCATGTGACCGCGGCTTCCATGGCGGCCATGTAACGTCACATGACACGGGAGATAACGTTATATTTTATACGTATTAGTTTCAACATAAATATATAACGAGCCTTTTACTTTTTAAATTGTGTTTATGTTTATTAAATTAAAAATATAAGCGAGTTACTACCCGCTAGCCACCGAAGCTGCAACTACTAAGCAACTAACCAACCACAGATAACTTCTTTGGATCTAAAAAAACATTTTAAATTAGCTGACTTAATTTTAAATTTGAAAATTGTCCCCGAAGTAGCTGCCGGCTTCTGATCCGCCGTCCTTTTGAAAATACCGCGGTGCATTGTGGGTAATTTTTGACCAAGGCTAGGCTACAAGACACCTCCCGTGTATCCTTACTCAGCTAGCTAAACGGCTAACAAACGGAGAACACACGCCTCGGTAGAACATGAACATTGGAACACGTCTTGGTGGCTCCCGATGACGTATCTCCTAGGCAACCGGGGCGGGGCCAAGACATCAAGGCAAGGTTCCTTGGCATTGAGAATCACCCACTGCAAGGCTGCCAACTCTCACGCACTGAGCGTGAGACACACGCATTTGACCCTCTTCACACGCTGTCACGCCACACCTCCAATCTCTCACGCTAAAGCCTGATTCATGCTTCTCCGTCAGCTCCAAAAGGGAGAGACACGCACGCACGGATGGAGATGTTTTGCTCTCACACTTCTCCGTGTCCTAGAGAGCGTTGCAAACCAGTTACCCGCCAGGACAGCAGAGGGCGTAGCGCTGTTCTGTGGTATCCTGTCATGTATCGGTCCAAGATGGTGTGTTTATATTGTGTTTTGTGTATATAAGAGACTTTTTAACACGGACATATTTGTCTCTCATCCTCCTCCACCTCTTCATGCGCTCCCCACCTCTAAACCCACGTTTCCTGTCATTTCCGTCCACAAATCAAACGCTTGCTGTGCATCTTTTCACTCCTCCAGTCACGGGGAACTAAACGTTCATGTTTTTAGAGTTTTTTTTGCGAATATTCTTCAAGCTGCTCCGTGTCTGCCGCTAGTTATCCTCGGCTCTCTTTATGTTTTTGAGGGCGCAATGGCGGCGGTGTAGACGACAGCGGCGTCCTGGCCAATCACAAGCTTGCGTTGTCTGTCTCGACGGACGGATGTTAAGAAAAGAGAGCTTGACTCCGTCCGTCCTTGCGGAGCTCTCCAGCAGGCCCGCAAGGACGGACAATGGCGTTGTGTCTGCACTGACGCAGAAGCATGCGCGCGCTGCCAAAGTGACATGCTTTATTTAGAAATGCAGCCGCGTCGCGGTCGCCAGCCGATGTTGACGGACGAATGTTTTTCTTTTGTTTTCACTCATCAGCCACAGATCCTCGCTCACAGCAAGCTGGGCTTCCTACCGTGGTGACTCACTCTCATGTTCCCTCTCCTGCATTAGTTGGTGACGCGGTGAATTAAAACAGTAGGAATCCTAACGTTTTAATGTTTTAATTCACCACTTCACCAGTGTGTTTTTCCTTTTTGTGAGTCCAACCACGGAAGCCTGGAAAGGCCAAAATTCCTCAAACGTATTTTTCCCTACTGGCTGGTATGAATGAATATAATAGAATAGAGTAAATGTTATTAGTCCCACAGTGGGGACATCCGCTCATTACAGCAGCACACACTCAGAGACACAGATCACAGTAAAACTGATTCCAGCCATGTTTGCTTTGACAACTTCAATAACTTCATGCTGATGAACACATGAATATAATCCTGTTTAGTGGATGCAACTCCATCATGAAGTTAGCTTAACATGATAGATTTTTTTTCTTGGAAGGAAATAATAACTGGTGATATCATTGATGACATGATGTCCCCCCCCCCCCCCCCAGATGGCATTAAAATTATTACATGAATTATAATTAAAAGTTCCTGTGTGACATGTAGCTGTAACTCTTTTCTTTAGATGGATAGATAGATAGATAGATAGATAGATAGATAGATAGATAGATAGATAGATAGATAGATAGATAGATAGATAGATAGATAGATAGATAGATAGATAGATAGATAGATAGATATGTATTAAACAAAGGTCAGTTCCCTCTGTAAAGTCAGAGGTACTGGAGAGGATCAGGGCCACTGACAAGAAAAAAAAGACAAGAAAGAGAATTCTGACTTTTTCCCCTGAATTCCCATCAGAATTCCGAGATTAAAAGTCATAATTTTGAGGAAAAAAAAGTCAGAATTCTGAGTGGAATTCTGTCAGTGGTTCTAATCCTCTTCCATACAGAGTAGAAATAAATAAATAACATGTAGAGCACAAAAAGTCTCAATATTATTACCCCCCCCCCCCCCCCCCAAACGGTCGGCGAACTGTCCGCTCCCAACCCCACCACCCGTCTCACTCTGAAATGTTCAAAAGTTGGCTGCCCTGCCACTGACTAGCATCAGTGACTTTACAGCAATCCTTCAGTGAAGGTGGTAAAAACTGCTGCCACCTAGCAGTCAGAGTTTGAATTGCACTACAAAAACAGGGTACATTTAAAGGGACTTTACGGAGTTTTGAATTTTTATGCTCGCGATTGCCCCCTCAGGCCAAAAGCGTAACGGCAGCTTCAATAGTAGGCTCGTGCATGAGGCGCGCATGCTGTACGTGCACACTCCTTAACCTTCCTTTCCTTGAAAATGGCTATTTTGTTGCTAATTTACTGGAAATTTCTAGAAGAAAGTTCTACAGAAAGTAGCTAAGGGTCCTCAGAAATGTAGCTAGCTTTGTCACTAGGCGTTAGGAACACTGCCTCTCTCTCTGCTGCTAAAGCTACGGATAGCAAATGCTACGGGCGATGCCTGAGCGTGAACGCGCATGAAGCAGCCTGCTCGACCCGAGCATCTCTCTTTTTCTGTGATTTTACAGAAAAACAGGCAATCACAGTAAAAATGCCAGGGCTCATTCTACAGGACCAGGGCATTGCAGGAGAATGTATGAAGAAGACATTTATTATTTCTATACATGTTTTGGCTGTCAGACTTCCATAACGCCCCTTTAATATCTGCATTTAACTTCTCAATAAGAAAATCCATTCACAGCGTTTACGTATCATTTCAGTATTGCAACATGTCAGTGGATCCGTATTTCCTCACATCCCTACTAAATAGGGCTGAAGGTTTTCGGAAACACGGTCGTATGAATTCACATGTTGTGTCTCTACCACGCTAACTCTTTCCATGTGCTGCCGCTGTGGACGTTTAGAGGAGCGAGTGTCCCTCTGACTGTTGGATCTACATGTTTTGGTGCAGTCGTCGTTTTGGGGGCGGTTAGCGGTTCTGATTTGTGACTAAAGTTCTGCTGTTTTTGGGCGAAAAACGAACTCCGGGTCGTTTATTTGTCCTTTTCGCTTCCTAGTTTGTTCCATATGGAAGAGCTCCTACACATAATGTGGGTAAAGTCAAGCTCCAGTGGTTCCTTTTTGTGCTAATCTTGTGTTTGTCCTGCTTTCCTCCAGCTCTCACGTTGAGTATGTAGAGGAGTTTCTCCTCCAGGCCTTGCCCCAGTTCTCCTCCCTTTCAGGCCACGAGGTCACCAGCCACGGACTGATGGTGGTGGTCATGCAGTACGGGAAGAAGAAGATCGACTATCTTGGGCGTGACCGAGCCGAAACAGACTGGACCAGAGCTTGGAGGTCCAACTTTCTTCATCCTGTGTTGTATTTCTACGAAGCCCTTCCTACTGGTGAGAGTGAAGGCTGCGAACATCAGGAGCATCCCAGTCTTCGGAGTTTTCACTGCTGGGCTTTTATTTTGCTTCTTTTTTTCTTAGAGGAAGAAATGAAGCTGCGTCCCCCTGGTTGGCCGCTACCCAGGCCCAAGGCCATTCATCACATGGTTGAAGACTTCCTCACCGAGTGGGATGGACCCTTGTCTCACATCCAGCCTCTGAGACGTTTCCTGGAGCATTGTCTTCAGACTGATCTCAGAGCCTTTTATGCAGGTAACTCGGGAGTTTTGCACTGCGGTCATGACATCCTGCTGGCTTTAGATCAGTACCACAGTGAGAGATCCTGAAATGACTCTTCATGTTTCAACCTGAAAACTGGACCAGCTCCGTACTTTTGCTACGGTGACGGAGGGAGCACCGGAGTTTGTCCAACCAGTCCACATGTGCTTAAAGGGGCGTTATGGAAGTCTGACAGCCAAAACATGTATAGAAATAATAAATGTCTTCTTCATACATTCTCCTGCAATGCCCTGGTCCTGTAGAATGAGCCCTGGCATTTTTACTGTGATTGCCTGTTTTTCTGTAAAATCACAGAAAAAGAGAGATGCTCGGGTCGAGCAGGCTGCTTCATGCACGTTCACGCTCAGGCATCGCCCGTAGCATTTGCTATCAGTAGCTTTAGCAGCAGAGAGAGAGGCAGTGCCACTTTGTCGCTGTTCCTAACGCCTAGTGACAAAGCTAGCTACATTTCTGAGGACCCTTAGCTACTTTCTTCTAGATATTTCCTGCAAATTAGCAACAAAATAGCCATTTTCACTCCGAACCGTTCTTTGAACGTTGTTTCAGCTGTTATCAAGGATATAAATGTTACAGATACAAAGGATGTCACTGGTGCTTTAGCTCACCTAGTAAGACATCGGACTCTCGTGCAGAAGACCTGGGTTTGATTCTGGGTGTGAACATAGTTCATTTAGAGTTTATTTTTTAAATTAATGGTATATTTTTACAGTAAGATGCCCAAATTTTTATTTGAGACTCGCCGAACGGCATTGAATTCACAGATAAAAAAGATGTGGGTTCAACTTTCATTTTGGAACAATTATTCAAGCAAGGGAAGGGAATGATCTGAGCATGCAGGAGGACTGACCCATCATAAACCTTTGTCGGCTGTGCTGAAGAGAAAGGTACAGAACCAAATTATTTAATGAATTAGCTGCACGTTCTCCTGTCCTCCGACACACACACACACACACACACACACACACACACACACACATTGTATCTTTAGTCGATCCCCAGTGAGTCGGGGTGGATGGCTGCTTATACTGAGCCAGGATCCTCTGGAGGTTTCTTCCTGTTAAAAGGGAGTTTTCCTCTCCACTGTCGCTGCATGCTTGCTCAGTATGAGGATTGCTGTAAAGACTCTGACACTAGTCAGTGACTTGATGCAACCTGCTGGGTTCCTTATGTAGGAAACTTGTTACTGATTGGCTTAATGACCTGACCTGTATTGGAATGTTTTCGGTGTGAAGATCCTTGAGACGACTCTTGTGATTTGGCGCTATATAAATAAACTTGAATTGAATTGAATTAGGCTGGCCTGAGAATGCCTTATGGTGAAGTCAGACAGGCTTGATACATCATCATAAATGTGAACAATCTTTATAAGTTCTGTGATCTTTCTCCGCACAGACTCTGCATTTCCTGTGTTTTAGATTCGTGCTTCCTCTCAGCCCTCACGCACCGCAAGCAGCCGCTGTTCTGTCAGCAGGGATACTTGGACGGGGGAGGCGTTCCTCTCAGCAGGCGGCTTCAGGAGCAGGATTACAAGGCTGGCCTGAATCCAGCTAAGCAGGACGGTGCTGGCACACCAGGAGCTAACTCTGCGTTTCCACACTACCTGACTCCAGCCGGAGCATCCGTGTCTTCCGGACTGAAACTTGACCTCTGATAGTTTGACCTGTTAGTTATGTGATGCTGCTCAAGACTCCCAAAACTGCTACCTCCATCACTCCAAGCTGCTTGGAAAGAAAAGAATGTCCCACGGATCAGCAGTTCCCAGGTTTAACCTGTGATTTTGTACAGACCAGCATCTGTTAACTGCTTGGATATTTCAACCAGTGACTTAATTCTGTTTATTTTTGTGGCTCGGAAAGGCGTTTGACTCGCTTGACATCTGAAAATTCAGGGAAAAAACATTCCACACAGTTGGTCTTTCCTTGTCTGTTCGTTTTTCCTCTTGGCTCTCAGCCTCGTGTTAAAGCCTGCTTGCTGGAAACAACTACTCCTCAGTGGAAAAGCACTTTGTTCTTAAAGTTTCTTTATTCTTCAGATATTTGTATGGACAGCATTGTTATATGTCGGTTGAGGCTGGGTTTTTTAATAAAGTACTACTCATTAGTCGTTTGTACAAAATCAGGATTAAGTGTAAAAAAAATACAAGCATTAGTTGTTTTTTTTTCTTTTAAGTGCGCATGCTCAGATGTTTTTAGGATTTGATTGGTGTACCGTAGAGAAGCGCCCGATGTCCGTTGATTGGCTGTTTAGTTGTATTGATCCTATTGGTCAGCAGAAAACAATATGGCGACATTTGATTGGTCCCTGATTCTCGCGAGCTGTTGACTACAATGGCCGCCCCTCTTGGTACCTTCGCATCTGAAATGTAAATGATGAAAAATCGTGGACATTTTGTGTTGTAAAGGCGTGGGCGCTTTCTTTTAACGCTTAAAACCAACCATTGGTGGAATAGTATAAAGATTTGTTTCGTCTATGGCTCCACGGCGGTCTGAGGGGACTCCCGAGCCGTGTTTCCTCCCAGGTTCGGCCGGAGTTCTGGTGTAAACCCCCCCTTGATGTCACAGTAAAACATGGAGGTCGTCGCCTCGCAAAGTGACAGGTCCGGTTCCGAAGGAGAGTACATGGTGCTGCGCGGTCCCGAAGGTGAGACCCGAGAGGCGGCGGAGACTGACGGGAAGGCCTCGGAGAGGATGTCCGACGTGGGTGCCGCTGCTGTCGGCTTCGGCATCAGCGGCATCGGGGAGGGCAAAATGGTTCTGGGTCGAGTCGGACAGATGGACGACAAAGAACTCCGGTACCTGCACTTGTTGTGGGAGCCGGGGCGAGGCGAACTTGGTCCGGGTGGTGTGGCGAGCAAGCTGGGGAAGGTAACAGAAAGTAAGGCCCGGAGGCAGCACCGAACTTTCCGGAACCTGGGTCCAATAGGGAAAGACGTTTACGGTGAGAGGAAGAGACGCTAGTTTCTGTTCACGTCTCCTTAATGTGTTTAATTATTAGAGTTTAACCCAAGTAGCGCGTGCGTTTGATAAAGCTGGACCAAGCATGATGTTAGCTAAACCACTTTTCTGTGTACTTCTGCGCTTTTGGCCGTTAGGTCGGCTTTAATGGGAGATTTCCTTTGTTTTCTCCCGTTTAACTCGTAATGTCGCTTTCGCTCACAGCTGCCAAAAGACTGAGAGAAGCAGCCAACAGCAACGACATTGACACAGGTTTGAACAAACATTCACTCACAAATTATCTGTAACCACTTCAGCAGGGCCACAGAGAGCTGGTGTCCAGCATCATGAGGTGGGAGGTGGGGGACACTCTGGACAGGTCTCCAGTTCATCACTGAGACATTTCAGAGTCTCCAATTAACTTAAAATCAGTGTTTTGGGTCAGTGGGAGGAAACCGGAGTACTGGAGAGAACCCACACATGCATGGGAAGATGCCGAAAAGCTGCCGCTAGGCAACCACATGTGTCATTGTGCATCCCAGCATTTATGCAATTAAATAACTTGCAAAGAGAATAAATGAGCTTGTTTGCTTCTTGGAATTTAGTGCGAAAGCACCTGCAAGATGGCATGGACCCCTGTGCAGCAGATGACAAGGGAAGGACGGCTCTTCATTTCTCCTCCTGCAACGGAAACGACAGCATCGGTAGGTCGGTCCCTCTGCGCTTGTGAGTTTTGGTAACCTGTCTGAATCTCACCAGGATGAAATGGTGTCGCTTGTAAGCTTGACGTATCCGCAGTCATGCAGACAGATGAGGAAGTACAACCTGGTTGGTTGAATTTCCCTATGAAACCAAAACATTACAGGTGTTCAGTGATTAAGCAGTCTAATTCAAGTGATGGCTCTGTTGTTCCTTTTGGACAAAAACGCTTTACTTGAGACAGAAAAAACACGAGGTGATCAGTAACGGTGTGCGGTGGTCTGTATGCTACACAGAAACACAGGTGAGCACAAAAATGGTGGAGATGTTGAACATTCTGCTCGGTGTTACAGCTTTTAGTCAGTCTGAACCAAGAAGTAGCTGCAGGCAGTGAGGCAGCAGCCAGAAAGCTCCAGAGTGACCAGCGACCACCATCGCTACCAATCAGTGGCTGACAATAGCAACGCTGGCCCACATCAGCCCTTGGTATCTCAACGGAGCCGGCACTGAAAGGTAGAGGGAAAATACTCCACCGTGCTGTTGACAAAAGCAGCCAGCTCGAACTTTCTTATGAAACCTAATTTCAGAGAGCCCTGCTCTCAATAGTCTGCCGATTAGAGTGAGCCGCACAGAGCTCAGGCGTCCTGTTCTTAAACACCAAGCTGGGCCCATCTGTAAACTTCCGTTCATCTCCAAGATCTTGGAAAAGGTTGTGGCTAAACAACTCACAGCTGCTCTTGATGAACAGAACATCTATGCTAGCTTCCAGTCAGGATTTCGTAGAGCTCATTCTACTGAAACAGCTCTTCTTAGGGTCTCTAATGACCTTCTGACCCACAGTGATGCAGGGGACCATTCTGTTCTGGTCCTGCTGGACCTGACTGCAGCCTTTGACACTGTTCACCATCACCTACTACTAATAATAATAATAGTTTGGATTTAGCACCTTTCAAGACAGCCAAAGCGCTTTCCATTAGTCATGCGCACTCCTATTCACACACTGCCAGTGAGGGTAAGCTACTATGTAGCCACAGCTGCCCTGGGGCGGTCTGACAGAGGCGAGGCTAACATTTTGTGCCGTCGGCCCCTCTGACCACCAGCAACACAGACAAGTCGGCTGAAGTGTCTTGCCCAAGGACACAACAGCAGAATATCTCTGGCGGGAGCTGGGATCAAACTCTTGAACCTCCGATCATGAGGCAACCCGCTCTACCACCTGAGCTACTGCTGCCCCAGGAGAGGCTGAGAGACTAGGTAGGCCAATCCGGATCTGCTCTGGAGTGGTTCTCCTCTTGTCTTTCGGAGCGTTCCTTCTCTGTGGCCGTCTCCATGTTTCAGTCCCCCTCCACCCCACTCACCCATGGTGTCCCACAAGGTTCTGTGCTGGGGCCTCTACTCTTCCTCCTCTATCTGCTTCCTCTTCTGCACATCCTGAGCTCCGTTAAAGGAATCTCCTAACATCTTTATGCAGATGACATCCAGCTGTACATCTCCTTTAAGCCCCATGAGATGTCTAAGCTGCAGATGTTAGTATATGATATCTGTGGGAACTCTCGTAGCGGGTCTGAAGTGTTGTGGCTCTCGCTATGGCAGCTTAAGCCTGCCACAGGAAGTGTCTGAGTCCTGGCATGGTGCTGGTTGTGAAACTCATCCTCATTCATCCGTGGCCTGAGCCAGGTGGTGCGTAAGGCTTGTGGTTTTTTAAAGTTTCATTTTAAGGCTTCAAGTAAAGCCACTCAGAACTTCAACTCCTGGTGGGTTTTTTCAATGATTTTAATACAGATTTTAGTTTCTGATTTGAGATTTCCTCAGAAATGTCAGAAACATGCCTGCAAACTTGTAGCTTTTTGGAGAAAATCACTGTTTTTAAAGCTAAATATGGCGTTCACGTGAATCGTGCAGCTTCGATGAGTGGGGGGTGGGGGGTGTCTTCTGTCAGGTTTCAGCGATGGGTTTCAGTCACTCTTATGAGAATCAGTCAGAGAAGGGAGGGGGTACTCCTCTTGTTCACAAACAATCTTTGTTCTGGCGTGTTAGTCACGTGTCGTCATTTGACCAATCACAGTCGGAAACAGCGCGCTACAGCGCGCTGCAGCGACGCTCACAGTGAGCGTGGCTCAATCCCAACACACCCGCCGCCTCCTGCGGTCTTCAGCAAAGTGCACTTAAGTGTGCCGTAAGGCTTCGAGTGCGAGTTACACAAGTGTGCAAATAATTGCCGAATTGAGACGGGGAGCGTTGATCACAACGCGTGCCAGGATGCTGGTCGTGGTGATACTTTAAAAAAAACTTTATTAACAACTTTCAAATAAACAATTATAATTTCATCATGTTTAACATAAGAAATGTTTCTGCTGCATGAAAGAGTCAGAGCAGCAGTGGTTTATTAAAGTATTCAAGCAAACAGCCGAGCCGCAGCTCTTTCTACATATTTAATCACAACCAACTCATCATGACCCATAACCTCTTAGGGATGATCACTGGAAACCCCTTTTTCACATCCTCCGAGTTAGCAGGTATGTAGAAAGTAAGGATGCATGAAATATCAGCATCAACCAAAGTTGGTCTTGTTTAACATATCGGTTAGGGCTGCACAATATATCGTAAATATGTCGTTATCGCGATATCAGCATGCACAATATGCATATGACAAACAACAGATAAATATCGCAACGAATGGTCAGCTCAAATGTTTGCTACACATAACACATTCTGTCAAGCAACTGCAAGCATGATGTTTTTTTAACAAGTCAAATAGAGCTCTTCACCCATTTGGCCAATTGTATGGGTTCTCATAGGTCAGATGCTCGCCCCCGAGGCAGACGGCACATTATTTTGATGGTTAGCAAACTTCTGAGTTAACTTAGTTCTGCTTTTTTTGCTGATTCTTCTTTTCCGGGGATCCACTGATCGCCTTGTCTTGTTAAGCCCGAGCAGCAAAGCTGCGAAGGCCTATTGTATCTGCTGTTTATTTTTCTTCTGCCCAGTAAATTGGCTTTTTGGAGGCCTTAACCTACTCGAAAACTCAGGAATTTTTGCACACATGTCAGGCGTGGTGTATAATTTTGTATTTTAAGGTCCCAAAAAAAATTGCAATTAAACTAGCTCCACAGCGCCCCCTAGAATGTGAAAAATACCCCCCTCCATAAAGCTTAGTTTATCGTACAGTTATGAAATTTTGTACACTTGTAGTACTCAACAGTCCGCACAGAAAAGCCTCTTGCAACTATGGTCAACATCAAACAGGAAGTCGGCCATTTTGATTTGAAGTGGAGATTTTGACCATGTTTTGGCCGTTTCTAGGGTCCGCTTCTAATTGATTTACTCGATCATTTTTTGCACGATCGTCTCGAAAGTTGTGGGAAATTGCTCAGAAGGGATGGGCGATCAAATAGAAAAAATAAAACCGACTTTTCGTATATGCTGAGGGGGCGTGGCCAGGCCTCGAATTTCAACTACTCGTCCAAAAAAAATAAATGGTCTTTAACTTCATACTCAGAGTAGAGTTACTAAAAGTTCTGTGGTCATTTGTCATCCAGCCACAAACTAAATTGAATGGCTGGATGATGACATCACACAAGCCCTGCCCCCTCAGGACTAAAAAGGTCAAGTTTTACTGTGAAAGGTCCCAAATCGCCCCATTTCACTTAATCACCACAAATTTGTAGCTGTTAACTCAAGACAAGTGGGTGTTTCTTAGCGCCACTTTATGGGAGTTTTCAAAAGTGGGCGGTGCTCTGGTGGCACGGCGAAGTCACTCGTACCGCTGTGGCTATACTTTTGCTTCCCATTTTGTCATTTCTTAAGATATCGCCACAAAACTTCTGGTGAGTGATCCTAGTCCGGCCCCCCAAAAAATCTGTTGTGAAAATCCGGTGGGCGTGGCCTATTTTCTTAAATAGCGCCCTCTAGGACCATTAAAATTGTCAGCCCCAAGCCACGCTTTGACTGAGGATTACGAAATTCGGTACACTAATGTGGTGTCTCAGGATCTACAAAAAAGTCTCTTGGAGCCAAGTACAAAGTCGCACATAAAGTCGGCCATTTTGGTCCAAGTACTCGATTTAGTGGTTTTTGCACGTTTGGAGAATGATGCCCCATCGCCCTTTTCACCGATCACCTTCAAACTTCTGCTCTATACTCTTCTTAAGCTATAGGGGGAAAAAAATTCAACCGTTGCATTTTTCAAAAGTTGAAAGTTGTGGGCGTGGCTAAGCCTCAAACTTTGACCTGTCGCCACGCCACTCTTTCACAGCTCCCTATTGGACTCCTTTCACCTAATCACCAGCAATCTCTGGCAAATAGCAGTAGACATGTTGAGGTCACTTGGTCTCCAGTACTGGCAGGTTTCGAAAAAAGGCGGGGTTTTGGGAGCATGGCGAAATTTGCCATCACGCCATGGAAATACGTTTGCCTCTCATTTCCTCAGTTATCGTGATATTGCTACGAATTCTCTGGTGAGTGATCCTAGTCGGACCACCAATAGAAATGGCTGTGATTGGTTTGTGGGTGTGGCCTATTTTCAGAACTGTCAGCCCCAAGCCACGCTTTGACTGAGGATTACGAAATTTGGTACACTAATGTAGGGTATTGGGACCTACAAAAAAGTCTCTTGGAGCCAAGCCCAAAATCGCACAGGAGGTCGGCCATTTTGGTCCAAGTACTCAATTTAGTTGTTTTCGCACACGTTGTTTGCCCTTTTCACCAATCGCCTTCGCACTTCTGCTATATACTCTTAGGAAATAGGGGAAGAAATTCAACCGTCGGATTTTAAGGTGTGGGCGTGGCTAAGCCTCAAACTTTGACCTTTTGCCTTTACATTACTTGACTTTATAACTCCCATGTGCATGATCAGATCCATATCAAATTTTGTGTGATCACTGACCACATCTCAAGACAGTGACAATGTGGACAGCTGACATCACCTAAGCCCCGCCCCCTGACAACTGGAAGTTGATTGTTTTATGGTGAAATGCCCATATTTGTCCCCTCTAATTTAGTCAACATGACACTAAGGTCATGCACTTCTTCATGATGCTGTAATGACGATTCAGTTCTGATAGTTTTCCAGAGAGGGAGGGGCTTTGATGCCATGGTGAATTCTGGCGTGACGCCGTGACCTTACGTTTGACTGTAACTTCCGTAAACAGCCTCTGATCTGCACGAGAGTGAACATGGCAATCAACAATCATGCCCTTTAGCCAACGAGGCACAAACGGTCGGTGAACTTTTATATCACCACAGCGCCCCTACACACCATTAAAACTGTAATAACTCCTACAGACGAGGTCGCAGCTGCACCAAACTTGCTATGTGTCATCATCACACAAAGGCACCCAACACAATCCTGTGGTCATTGGTTGATATCGCTTTAGCTCCGCCTCCTGACAGATATTAAGCCCTGAATAACACATGCATAATGCAATTCACACCAAACTGCACACAAATGACTGTTATCAACCTACAAACTTCTTCATGGAATGTTTCCTAAATTTGGGACAGCGCCCCCTAGATACAATAAAACCTTTGTAACTTCTGCAAAAAAGCTCCAAACTATATCAAACATGGTGGGAGTCATCACGCAACTGCAATCAACACATGTGTGTGCTCATTCATTCAAATTACTTTAACTCCGCCCACTTACAGCCTTTTGTCTCTAGATGACCTGTGCAATGTTTGATTGATGCCAAATTAACAGAAAACCATCTTTGATGACCAGAGATGACCTCTATGGGATTTAGTTGTAAATGGTCACAGCGCCCCCTAGATAGGTTCAAACTTGATTAACTTCTAAAGACAAGGTCAGAATAGCATTATACTTGGCTTGTGACGTCACGTGACTGCACCAAACACATTGATGTGGTTGTTGGTTCAAACCCCTGTAGCTCCGCCCCTTTCAGCTCTCTGGTTCTAGATTACACACACAACGTCCGATTGATGCCAAAATAACAGAAAACTCTTTGTCAACCAAAGCTGACCTAAATGGAATTTTTCTGTAGTTGGTCACAGCGCCCCCTAGATAACTTTAACCTTCCATAACTTAGAAAAACGTGGTCAGAATAGCATTAAACTTGGTCTGTGTCATCACACCACCAGTGTGGTAAAGATAGAGTATCCTCTAGTGGTGAGATGTGTAATTTAATGGTGGGCTCAGAGGAGATGCTGAGTCAGGGTGAGGTGCAGACGAGGAGACCGTTCGTGGTTTCTGGTGTCGGGGTGGTCGACGTTTATGTTGAGCGGATGTTCCCGGGTGCACCAGACTGCCGGCCAAGCCGGAGCAGTGCGGAGCTGCGAGGGCCGAACGACGCTGCTTGCAGCTTTAATTTTTTTTCTTCTGCGTCTTTGAATGGCTTTTTGGGGTCTTATCATATCTAAAAACTTGCCAAATTCTGGCCCAATTTAGAAAATGCGTGAAATTTACGAAATAGCGCCCCCTATGACCATTAACACTCTCAGCCCCAAGTCATGCTTTTACTGAGGATTGTGAAATTTTGCACACTTATGTAGTGTGCCTGGGCCTACAAAGAAGTCTCATGGAGCCACGCTCCATATCCCACAGGAAGTCGGCAGTTTTGTTCCAATTACGTTACAGAGTTTCTTTCGAAGCTGGAATATTTTTATAATGTAAAACATTTTTAGTGGGGACTGTGGGCAGGCTAGGAGGATAGGTTGAGTCAGAATGAGGTCACAGCTCACAGTGATCACAGTTAAATGCACGTTGGGGTGTGTGGCGCGCATGGGCGCTCGTGCGCCACGGGTTGAAGGGCGATGGGTTGGGAGAGCGTCGGGGATGGAGTGGAGGGGGTGCGAACGGAGGGCGAGCAGCTTCGCTGCGAGGGCCGAACGACTCCGCTTGCAGCTTTAAATTTTTTTTCTTTCTTCCTTTCCTCACTTCTTTTGCTTTGCTTTAACCCTAACCCTGTAACAACAGCGTTAAGTCTAACACCCCTTCCTGTCGCGGGTCTTTTTGTGTTCCAGTGCAGTTATTGTTGAGTCATGGTGCTGACCCCAACCAGCGAGATGGTCTGGGGAACACTCCTCTACATCTTGGTAAGACGACCATCCTTGTGGCATTTAAAACCCAAAGGCCGTGATTTCATCTGATCTGCTGTTGGAATGCCAACAGATGGGAAAACTGTGAGTTTTGTGGTAATAATGTTCATTCTCACCTGTGTTGCTGCAGCGGCCTGTACCAATCATGTGCCTGTCATCACCACGCTGCTGAGAGGAGGTGAGACCTTTGTTAAAGTTTAGTTTATGGTTGCAAAGAAATGGAATAAGTCAACTTTTTCCTTCCATTGTTGCTACGTACAGCAAAACACAACCTCCAGAGCGTCGAAACGAAATATTTTTATCTCGTTTTATGAAGAAGAGCTGCTTAAAGTACTGAGACCCTTGTATCATTAGCACCGCAGCTACTTATGAGGTGCTATTCATAGCAACACGACTGGTGTAGTAGGTTTAGCTGCCTAAGGCTAACAGGTGCTAGTAATGCTAATGTTTTGCCGTAGCTACAAGGCAGCTTGAGCGCAGTGTAAAGCACCACCTCACGGGGACGTCTGAAGGTGGAGCAAAGCAGACGATCATGAATGAAACATCTCTCGCTCTCCAGCGTGCAAATTTAGGAGCAGCATCCATCGTCATCTGAGAGGCGAGGCGCTGTGAACGTGGATGGTCTAGGCTGGAGATTTATCCCAGCGTATGCCCTGCTGCCTAGCAACCGTAACAGCCCAAACAAGTTGAAGCTGAAGCACGTCTCCGTTAGGTCGTTTTTTTCTTATGTTTGTCCAAAATTATCTTTTAAAAAAAAAAGTGCAAACGAAACCTAGCGTCACATAATCTACCTTCAAATGCAGCCTTTGAAGGATGCAACCTCTGAACTTAGACACAGCTTTAGTGATCAGGCTCCGGGTGTTGATGTGGTATTTCGTTCCTAAAACATCGACCCTCTAGTCCGGCCTTTCCACTGGATGCTGCAGCAGTTCATCACATAACATGTTTTACCCGAGAGCTCGCTTCACACCGGCAGCCTGTCTGATGCAAACGCTGGTGAAAGCGTTCTACGCAGCAGGGGTCTCATTTATCAAACATGGCGTAGAATCCTTACTAAAACCGTACTTAAGCTCAGCAAGAAAATGTACTTACGCCAAGCAGGTTTGTGATCTATCAAACTTGGAGTACGCACAGCTGCACGCAATCTCCGCTTCATAAATCCGAGACTAACAAGAATGTTTCTCAGCTGCTTTTTAGTCACATCCCGCCCTCACCACGCCCACTTCCTGCCGTTAAATGGTCAATGCAAAGTGCCTTGTGGAGCTCATGCATATACATAAGCCGGCTTGTTGCAGCATTTCGATCACGACCGCAGATCAAGGAAGCGCTATTTCACAAGCAGAAACTGAGGTACCTGTGGGTGAGGTGGAGAAATGAAAGGAAGTGATTTTACAAAACAAATAAGAGAAAATCCACGGAGTGGCACAGCGTTGCTGAAGCCGTCAATGTTGTAAGTTCTTCAGAGAGATCTGTGGCGGATATAAAAAAAAATGGTCCAAATGGGATTTGATCCCCAGACTCCCGGGTGAAAGTCACGTGCGCTAACCAGTCACCCAAACACAGATCCCCCTTGTCCAAGTAGCCAGGGCGCATGATCAATCGGGTCACAGTGACAGGACACACACTGTCACAGACGCATGATGTTCTGTCTCAATCCGTCCCCCTGCTGATATTCTGCATTCCCTATTCTGTGCTTCTGTCTGTGTGTGTGTGTGTGTGTGTGTGGGGGGGGGGGGGGGTCTTGTTCTGTGTGAAAACGAAGCAGTACAAGTGATGATGCTGCAGGATATCGTAATTGTATTCTTCTCAGCAGCACTGCAGGTGCTCTCCGTGCGTAAGCCAGGTCCTTAGTCAACTTAAAAATTTTTCCGCTAAGTTTTCTTTCATAAATCCCAAAGTTTGCGTGGAGAGTTGCTTACGCAGTTCTCCGACCCCGTTTTGTGCGTAAGCAAGCTTGATAAATGAGGCCCCAGGTCCTGCTAGGTCATGACATGACCGGAGAATACCAAGACCAGATGTGCAGAGCTTGCCTCGCAGCGACGGATTAAAAGTGTAAATTTAACGGATCACTGCGAATCTACGCTTCGGGGGAGCGATTTAAATGCGACGCATAGCGACCGGTGGAATGGTGTCCATCTACTGTAACGGTGGCTAATTTCTGAAAGAGTTACACGACGCTCACGCAGGAAGTGGGATGTCCTGTATGAGTCTGCAGCCAGAGAAAGGTCTGAGGACCATTTACTGGAGGGAAACGCTCACATGAAACTAACAGGACAGCATGGCGCTGGGGCGACATCCCGATATGTGTAAGATATGAAGATGTCGCCCAGCCCTAGGGTAACCAACCGTGTTGTTTTAAATGTGTGAAAGATGATTTTCTCTCTCTAGGGGCGCGTGTGGACGCCCTGGACCGGGCAGGAAGAACCCCGCTGCATCTGGCGCGCTCCAAACTCAACATTTTACAAGAGGGAGAGTCCCGCAGCTTGGAGACCCTGAGAGGGGAAGTCTTACAGGTGCAGAACCGCACGTTTCCAGTTCAGAACGCTACGGTTCAGGCCTTCGTTACACCTGCTCTTGCACTCTGTCTGCAGATTATTCAGATGCTTCGTGAATACCTGAAACTAGTGGGTCAGAGTGAAGCCAAAGAGAGGCTGGAACACATTTCAACACAGCTGCAGCAAACGCGCACCAGAGAGCAGGTGAGAACCAGCGTGTGTTTTTGTTTGGTCATCTGTGAGTTGATGAACTCGTAACGCGCTCGTCCCTTCTTCTCAGGTGGATGAAGTGACCGATTTACTGGCCAGTTTTACGTCTCTCAGTCTGCAGAAACAGAATCTAGGTGACCGGTAGGATCTACCTCTGCGTAGAGACGAAGCCTTGGTCCCACATGGAAGTCCTGAACCGTCGCCATGGTAACAGCTGGCCCAATCTCCGTATTCAGATAAAGCACTGCCTATGTTGTTGTTCTAACCAAGCGTTTATCAGCCGATGCACTAATAAAGGGTTTTCGCTGCTTTCTGTTTGAACGTGAGACCTGGATCCTTAAACAAGTGTGTGTGTGTTGGAACTGGAAGAACACACCCAGTGGGAAATAAACTGGGATTAAGAAGCCAGTGGAGATGAAAGATTATTCTGAAGAACAGGAGGACCCTCTGTGTGTGTTTGTGTGAAAAGACCTGATTACAATGTGTGTGTGTGCTTATTTTCTGTTTTTGCATTTTATGATGGAAATGTAGAACGGTAATTATAAAACAAACGATTTAACTGAGGTTTCCTCTTCTAAAGTGTCTTTATTTTGATGCCTTCTTTGTTGTGTTATGCTTCTGTGAACTGTGCCGTAAAGTTCTGGCTTTTGATGGAAACTCAACCGAACTTAACCAATAAATCAAATCTTTGTCCATGTCATTCGTGTGTGTGTGTGTGTGTGTGTGTGTGTGGGGGGGGGGGGTGGCGGGGGACAATTGTCTGGTCCTCACTTTTTTTTAGAAGCGTACCCAAGGCCGGATTAACCATATGGGCCACTAGACAATTGCCCAGGGCCCACGAACTCTAAAGGGCCCAGGGCAGCAAGGGCACGAGCAAAATACTGTATTGATGAAAATGTCTGGTTTTTCATCCAGGAGCAGGGATCGAATTATGGGGGAGCCGGATAAAACGTTTTCTACCTATATTACATCATTTATGGACTCATTAGAGCAGAGAGCATATATAGCGATAATCGTTGCGCAGCGCTCCAGGCTGCTGCGTCCAGCGCGGTCCATTCTCAAAGTGGCGCAACCAAAAAACTATAATTAGCACACGATCGTTGATGTCCGCACATGTTCTCTACTTTCTGTCTTATTTGTGCCTGAAGCGCTCTGCTACTGCGGAGCTCATCACCTGTGCTGCGGTGATTTCACCTCACTGACGCAGCATTGAAACGCGCACTCCGCTTTGCGGTCAGGAGATCCCTTTGATCTGCTCAGAAGTAACTGATGAGGTGAAAAAGTAAGAATCCAGGCAACAGTTTTTCTGGAGAGTTTAGAGGAGATGCAGGAAGATGAGAGACAGACAGGACAGGAAAATAGTTAAAAGCAAGAAAACAAAAAGTGTTGAAAAGTAAAATGTAGATAGATTAATCTCCACGTGTTTTTACCTGTATAAAACAATAAGTTACACACATGTAATATGTATACATCTGATACAATTCAGATCACCTTTAAAACTCAGTCACACACCCAGGGCCGTTTCAAGGCATTTTGGAGGCCAAGGCAAAATGATCCTCTGCTAGGGGGTGACTTGCTCTTTAAGGTTAGGAATAGATCAGCATTTCTTAGGGTTAGGCATACTGGTCACAAAAATGAATGAAAGTCAATGGATGGTCCTTACTTTGATATAAAGACAGACGTGTGTGTGTGTGTGTGTGTGTGTGTGTGTGTGTGTGTGTGTGTGTGTGTGTGTGTGTGTGTGTGTGTGTGTGTGTGTGTGTGTGTGTGAGTGTGAGCGGGTGCACCATCAGCAAGTTACTGCAAAATTGCAGTTCTTAGGTAATACAAATATAATAAAAACTGAATAAGGATAAAAAATCTATACAGTGGGGATCTGAGCATTATAAGACATCAGACTACACACATTTTAGAAATATACTAATGTATAATCCAGCTTTTATGAATGTAAAGTTCAGATTCATTTCCTCCGCGCTGATTGGCTACGTCGCCCAAGCCCCGCCCTTTTCCCCCTCAGACGTTTTTGTTGTTGCCGATAATAAAGATGGCGGCCGGACCCGCGTAAACCAGAGAGCCCATTGAGGTAGTAATATTTAGTAAAAAGCATTATTCTTGACATTCTGTTGCCTGTAAATAACACATGTTGTAATCGGAGAGGAGATAAAAAATAAAAGGTGGTGAAATGCACATTTTCCGCAGTGTTTAGTGCACTTAGAGCGACTTTGGCCTAGCCGCGCAGGCAGAGCCTCGGTGTTTCCTAACGCACTTACACCGCTCAACTGATTGGAAACCCGGAGTGACGTCTTCACGTCAGAAATGTTGGCGCTTGCTGGTCAAGGTGAAAAAGAAAGGGGGTGTGTTTGTGTGTGTTTACGAGCGAAGGCGGGAATGTTTTGTCCGTAGTTTGCCCTGGCTTGCAGGTGACGGACTGTTAAATCAAAAAGCCTGATAGTTTCCTGAATGTTTGTCCCCTTTGGGTTCGTCCAGTACTGAGAATGTTCAGCAGAAGACAAATAAGACAGCATCCAGCTGTGTGAAGAACTATCAGTTCTGGTCACAAGGGTTTACAGTCAGAGTTGAACACATTTATTCAGTAACCCGCATTCATTTTATTTACTGATGTTTTTGCCTCTTTAATAGGACAGCTCCACCTTTTAATAACCACACCATCGTCCTGAGACAAGAACCCGTGTTGACTCAGAAGAAATGGCATATGAGGAGCTGAAAGGTGATTAAAATGCGTTTTTACCTGAGACAAATATTGTGTTAACCTCTAAAAGGTTGTACAAGTTTTGAATTTAACAGATTAGGTTATGAACTGGATAATCTAAGCTTTAGGAATCTCTTTGTTGGGCTCGGGTTCCCTCTGATTACAACGTTTCCCTCTGGTGTTTCTGTCAGTTCTGTCTTTCCTAGGGATCCAGTGATTTCCTGTTTTTATTTTTCATATTTTTAATCTCATTTTTTCTGTTTCTCCCATTTTTATCATTAAATCCATTTTCTTTATTTTTATTGTTTCTTGTGAAGCGCTTTGTTATTTTTGTCTTGGGAGGTGTAAATCTTTCTTCTTCATAGACATTAAAAAAATAGAAAATATTGTAGTTTTAAATGAATAGAAAGTTTTTTTTTCTTCAAAATTTTATATAAACAAATTCTATTTTAATCCTGTCTCCCTAAATATTAAAGGTGTTCTTCACTGAAAACCATGTTTTAATGATTATTTATGACTCTTAACGGGTCACTCTGAGTGTTTCATGCAGGCTGAACATAAAAATAGTCTCCTACACCTATCTCCTGCATTACCTTCTGATAGAAAACAGACGGTGAAACTCTAGGGTTAGAAAAGCCTGACAGATCTACATCACACTGTCACTTAACATTCATGGACTCACCCATCTGACTCACGACGGGGAAGGCTGTTGTTGGTTTAGCGTCCAGGAAACAGCAGAGAACGTCTCTGCTAGTAGAAGCTAACTGTTAGCATTAGCAACTCCACCACACAGCAGAACTCCTCCAGGCTTGTGTTATTTGTGGAGATAAAACATCAATGTTGCAGAGCAACCAGAGTCAGTGATGGAGTCGTGTTGCTGTTAGCCAATCAGAGGAGAGATGTCCAAATGTCAGGAAATAGGACTCCAAATCCCGCTGTGTGCTGCCACTCCCTCCTCCAGCCGTCTCTAGTCTGTTACCATAGTAACCGCATCCAGGCCCAACACCAGAGCTTTATAGTGTTACACACCACCCAAACAAATGTCGTCTTATCTGCTTACGCTGTACTGTTTGCTTGTGGATGAGCTCCACGACGCTCTGGTTCTTCTCCCTGCTGTTTCACAGTTAGTGTAAAATAAACGTAAGATGTGTTTGTGACTCCACCATTTCCCTCTTGGGTTGAGCGTAGCGTCGTCTGCGCTCACAGCGTCCTCATGCTAACGCGAATGTTTGATGTTAGATATGGGGGTGGACGGAGGCCTCGTGGCTGGTCGCAGTCAGAGAGAGAAGAGGAGGTCGTACAAAGATCTTCTGCGAGAGGAGGAGGAGATTGCTGCCGAGGTACGAAAGTCCTCTAAGAAACGGCCCAAGGTGAGTTTTCCGTCCTCGGCCTCTGAGACCCGATGCTCGTCGCAGCGGCATGAAGGAAACGCTGTTGTGTTCAACCCCCGCTAGGATGCAGAGTTCTTCATGGTGGGGGGTGAGTTGCACAAAAAGAAGAAGAAGCATGGTGATGACTACTACTACATGGGTGAGAAGATGCTGTTTGTCGACTTCCTTCACCTTTAGTACTTCCTGGTTAATTCAGAGTTTGCTTTTCTCAGACCACGATGGGTCCGGTCTGCCTCCCCACAAGAAAAAGCACAAGTCTGTCGACCGCTCACCCCCCCTTTCCTCCCCCTCATCGTCACACCCAACAGACACGGCCATGGGCCTCCTGCAGGCCATCACCTCTCCCCTGGCCACGGGGTCGGACCCCAACCCCCACCTGCACAAAAAACCCTCCTATCCATCCTTCTCCTCGCACTCCTCCAAAGACCGTAAACGAGAGGGCGGCGGCAGCGGTGGAGGCGGAAGCAAAGGGAGCCATTCCTTCTCGCACTCCCGCCCTCTGTCTTCATCATCTTCGTCATCATCTTCCTTCAAAAAGCACTCCTCCTCCTCCTCCTCCTCGTCAAAGTCGTCCCTGTTTCACGGCGGGGCTCCCAAAGAGGAGCCCCTGACTCTACGCGAGGCTGACGGGCTGAAGATGAAGGTCATCATGTCGCCGGAGAAGGAGGAGCCGGCGAGCTTCCCGATAACGCCGCACTCATCTAAAAGTGGAGTGAAGAAGGAGAAGGACAGAGAGAAGATGCAGCCGGCAAAGCCGCCGAAGAAGAAGCTGCAGCACAGCAGAGACCCGCTGCCTGTAGTGGGGAAGGAGGTGGAGGTGGAAGGTAACTCAAACCTCCCCTTTATCACGTAGGCACCAGTGTGAGAAGCTTGTGATTCGAACCAATCCCTGATCCTGTTTAGGTCACTATGGAGGCGGCATCGGGGACGAGAGCTCCTCGTCTGGGGCGGAGCTGGAGGCGGGGGAGCTGGTTATAGACGACTCGTACACGCACCTGTCGAAGAAGAAGAAGAAGAGTAAGAAAAGCAAGAAGAAAAAGGACAAAGAGAAAGACCGAGATAAGGATAAAAGTGGGAAGGACAAGAAACACAGCAAAGGATGTGGAGGTGAGTTCAGGTTTTCATTCAAACGGAGACGGCGTTCCCACTGCGCCGCTCCATTTATGGTTTTTAATGTTAAAGTCCCATTAGTTGTCACACACACAGGTGTGTGTGTGACATTTGTTCTCCGCATTTGACCCATCCCCTGGGGGAGCGGTGAGCTGCAGACACGGCCGCGCTCGGGAACTATTTGGTGGTTTAACCCCCCAATCCAACCCTTAATGCTGAGTGTCAAGCAGGGAGGCATTGGGTCCCATTTTTTCAAAGTCTTTGGTATGACCCGACCAGGAATCGAACCCTGATCTCCCAGTCTCAGGGCGGACACTCTACCTCTAGGACACTGAGAAAGGTAGATGCTGATGTGGAGAACGTTTATTTTCTGCTGTAGTCCAACTGCAGCTTTGTGGTGCAAAGCAGGAAATGGGTTTGAATATATTTTCTTTACATTCTGCATCGTTTAAATGGATTAAAACACACGTTTCTGACAGTAGACTGCCTCCAACAGACCTTTGATCAGTTTTCGGTGCTTGCTGCTGTTCCAATATTGGACATCGATTAGAGCGTCTGGTGGAACCGCAGAGACATGCATCCATGTAGTACACCTGAGGTGTCGTAAGGAAGAGAATAGAGCATACTTAACCCAAAACTCTTGTCTCTGTTACCATGGTGATCCAGCCGGCCTGTCCTTAACACATTAAAGCCACAGTCCGGCTTAAGGTGCAATACATTTATCCGCCTCTAGGTGGTGCCACCTGAGAAGAAAGTCCAGATTTCTGCTTTGATAACCACTTTCAGCTCAACATCGCTGGCTAAGCGGGAAATGGCTCTTTGTGGTGCCTTCCCTGCATCCGTGTGGTGTGTTTGTGTTCACCAGACTCGTCCAGAAGCCACGGCCACTCCCATCCCACCGTCACCCACAGTGCCGTAGGTCCGATGTACGCCATGAGCAAACCCATTCCTCCTCACCAAGGCAACGATGGAGCAACAGAGAAGAAGAAGAAGAAAGACGACAAAGACAGAGAAAAGCACGAGAAAGACAAAGAGAAGGTAAGCAGCAGTTCAGACCTGTGTTGGCTTTGTTCTTTCTTTATTCTTCTGTTGTCTCTTCATCTAGTCCAAGAAGAAGACCACAACAGCGTATCAGGTGTTCTGTAAAGAGTACCGGGTCAACATAAACGCCGAGCAACCAGGGCTAGGTGAGTGTTGGGTCGCACGGTGGCGCAGCGCGTTGCCATAACGAAGGCTAAGTGCTTTAAACGATGACTGAGCGAGTTTAACGGCCCTTTTTTAATTGTTTAATAACAATTTCACAGATTTTGGGGAGCTGAGCAAGAGGCTGGCAGAAGTGTGGAAGGCCATGCCAGAGAAGGACAAGCTGGTGCGTTTCATCCTAGCTGCTTTTGTTAGCGTCACATGTTTACCCAGAGGAGCTGATTTGATGTCTTACATATGATAAAAGTCACTCATTCACACACACACACACACACACACACACACACACACACACACACACACACACACTAATGGTTTGGGATGTTGCAAATTCATAATTTTGCTTTAAATGGTAAATGGCCTGTATTTGATATAGCGCCCTCTAGAGTCCTGGAACCCCCTCAAGGCACTTCACAACATAATCAGTCATTCACCCATTCACACACCCATTCACACACTTGTGGAGATGAGCTACAATGTAGCCACAGCTGCCCTGGGGCGCACTGATGGAGGCGAGGCTGCCGAGCACTGGCGCCACCGGTCCCTCCGGCCACCACCAGCAGGCAACGTGGGTTAAGTGTCTTGCCCAAGAATGCGACAGACTGAGCGGGGCTCGAACCTGCAACCTCCCGATTACGGGGCGAGCACTTAACTCCTGTGCCACCGTCGCCCACTTTAGAAAAGTCAAAACCTTAAACGAGTTTAATCCTGAACGTTTAGACTTTTATTTACTTTTTGCAGGATTATGATTTTGGCATCCTGCAGTACGTTGTGTTCTTGTAGGGTAAAATTCTGGCACCTGCGTACTTGTCAGACATACCCACGCCCTACGTGTGCGCTCGCTCGCTGTGGTCAGCAGACCGCCTGCTGCTCTGCACTCTGACAATGCACTACAAGACAACGGGGGAGCGTTGCCTTCGTGTTTGTAGCTCCCGCTCTCTGGAATGCACAGCCGCTCACCATCCGCCAGTCACCATCCGTCGGTGTCCTCAAGTCACCCTCGAAGACAGTTTTACGGTTTGGCTTTTAGATGTGATTTGTTTACTTCCTGTTTAGTTGGTATTTTTATGTGTCTGTCTCTGTTAGGGATGTGTATTAGTGAGACTCTGGCGATATGATACGTATCACGATACGATATATCGCGATACATTCAGCCAGACGATATTGGCGATTTTTTTTTTCAATAGACAGTCCAAAGTGACACGTAACATGTTTAACATGAGGTATCCGAACCATAATAGAGGGGTTTACATTTTAATGGTGGTAGTGGTCGGCGTTTGATTTGCACCAAAATAAAATAAACAAATATTTTCATGTAAATTCTTCCAAAAGATTCGATACACGGCTTTTGAATATTGATATAATATCGCAGGAAAAAAATCACGATGTATTGCCATATCGATATTTTCTTACATCCCTAGTTTTTATGTTGGGAGGCGCTTTGGTCAGCTCACATTCAGTTTTATAAATAAACCTGGTGTGGTAAACCTTCGTCTTTATGGTGTCAGAGCGGCTCCGTTTTCTTCTGAATGACTCCTGAAAGTTTCACATAAATCTGTTACTTTGGTTTGAAGCGAACGGCGGCCCTGATGCGCCGCCATTCCTACTGCTGCCCGTGTAGACGTAGCGATGGGTACCGAGTTCGGTACTTTTAAAGGTACCGACCAAATTCCACAGTACCGACTGAGCACAGATTCACGTCATTTGAAACGGGGCCTCGTTTCGGTACCCGTCCTTCATAACGAGAACTTGCCTAGACAGCTGCGCATGCGCAAGAGCGTTACGTCGTCGGTCGCTGCGAGCGAGTTGTAAACAGAGCAGCATGGTAGAAAGAACGCACGCTAAAGCTTGGGTCCACTTCACTAATGGGCCATTCCCATCTGTACCGGGTCGGCCCGGGCCGGGTAGTCCCAGTCGGCCCCAGCCTGGCCCGGTTGATTCCACACATCCTTGTCTTGAGCCCATGTGTGTTGATTCTACCCACCAATCAGAGGCTTGCTCTAATGGAAGGTGTGGATTTGCTGTCAGCAGTGGGTGTGTTGGTCCTGGTCGGCCTGAAGCAGACCCCCTCGAGAAGAGGGCTGAGAATGAGCCTTGATTGGCCCGGAAAAATACCAGGCCACCCAGATATGTAAACAACCTACGCTACCGGGCCCGGGCCGACCCGGTACAGATGGGAATGGCCCATAAATGTGATGGGTAACTGGGTGATGATGAAACCAGCGACAACGATCTAAGTGAGACATCCTCATCTTAATCTGCTTCGGTAGGTAAATAAAATGTTTCAGATAACGTTAGCTTGATATGTTAGCTTCCGTTTGGTTAATGGTGCGTTCGCTTTCTCCTCGGAACTCCGAATTTCCGACTAGAAGAACATGAACGCGCTCTAAAGTTTGGGTTCACTTTACTCAAGGCGACGGGTGATTGGGTGAAGATGAAACCAGCGACAACGATCTAAGTGAGACATCCTCATCTTAATCTGCTTCGGTAGGTAAATAAAATGTTTAAGATAACGTTAGCTTGATATGTTAGCTTCCATTGCCACCGTTGTTATCAGCTAATGGTGCGTTCACTTTCTCCTCGGAAATTCTAACTTCCCAGTAGGAAAAATCAAATGAAAAAGGACGGCAAAAGGAATGAAGATACACAGTAAATTTAGTTCACAGTAAAGATGTTTGCTTCAGTTTAATTATCAGCTTATAAAACTACAAGGACGATGTTAAAATACAAACAGTTGTATGTTATTTATCGTGATATTTATCAAATATGGTTATATATTGAGAAAAATATATATTTAATTATAAAAGAGAATTAAAATATTAAACACTCAAAAGTATCAAAAATTGGTACCGTTAAGTACCGGTATCGATTCCTAGGTACCGGGAATTAGTACCGGATCGATTCAAATGTCAAAGGTACCCATCCCTACGTGGACGTGGTAGCATACGGAGTGATGTCCTGTGTGTTTTTGTTTTTCAGGTCTGGAGGCAGAAAGCTCAGCATCTGCAGCACAAACAGAACAAAGCTGAGGCCACTACCGTCAAGCACAAAACCTCCAACGACGCCAAAAGCAAAGGTATCTGTGAACTAACCGGGGCTTTCCACCAGACACGTAAACTCTGCGGAACGTCCGAGAACCGTCCAGTGGACGGGTGCTTTTACCGGCAGCGAGGACTGCCCTGGTAGTTAAACTTACGCTTCGGGTATAATTTAACACACAACGCTTCCACAACGCGTCAAGCTCTGCTGTTCAGATCAGACCCAACAGGAAGTCCAACGCAAAAGCAGTTTAAAGCATCCTCAAACTTTCAAAATAAAAGTCCAGTGCAGATTTCCGGTTGCACACCTACTGTTGTTTTTCTCTTTGTTATCTCCGAAACCACGTGGGACCAGCTAGGAATGCTAACCCTTCCTTGTTCTGCGTTTGAAAGTAACAAAGCGCTGATGGGGAAAAGATGCGTGTGATGTAACGTGCCGCTTATGCATCATCCCCCCCCCCCCCCCCCCCCCCACAGGGTCGCCCATTGCTTGATAAATTTCTATTTTCTTATGAAAGTTGTAGGAATGGCGGCAGGAGTGGTGTCACCAACCAGAACCCCGGGTGCCATGTCCCTGTCTCCAGCTCGAGTCCCAGATGTTGATCCCATCGATGCGGCGGCTCACCTGCAGCTGCTGGGAGAGTCCTTGTCTCTGATTGGCCACCGGCTGCAGGAAACAGAAGTGAGTTCCCGCGTTTGCTCCACATCCATCTAGCTTTCCCCTGAGTCTGGATCTGACCGCTGTTCCGTCGTGTTAGGGGATGGTGGCGGTGTCCGGGAGTTTGTCTGTCCTCCTGGACTCCATCTTGTGTGCACTTGGCCCGTTGACCTGCCTCACGGCGCAGATACCGCAGTTGAACGGGTGTCCGCGACACGTCCTGGTACAGTACACGAGTTTAGATCTGCTTTACTGCGACTCTGTCGACTTTTAAATGACCCTGATGATTTGTTTTGCTTGTGTCAGTCAAACACGCTGGACAACATCGCCTACATCATGCCCGGACTGTGAGTCGACCCGAACGCAGAAGACGGTCCATCTGACCAAAGGTCTCCGTTCCTGGAGAGAGACCCCTAACTGAAGCTGCTGCGTAGTGTCAGAATATTTCTACTTTCTACGTGTTTTTAACGTGTATTTTTAGAAACGTGTCTTATTGAGCTGATTGCTGAATTTTTTTAAATCCAACATTTCATCGGACATCTTCTGACGCCTCGGTTTGGTCTGGACTGTTTCTGTACAGCAGCTTGTTTTATGAATGAATGAGTGTGTTATTTGGCCACTAAGTGGGATTGAAAGGTGATTTTTTACCATTTTAATGTGTTTCTCTGTAAATAGTTACTACCTTGTTGTAGACGCCCTACAGGACTGACGCGCTAACGGCTAGTCTCATGGGAGACCGTGACCATGAGAACAGAGGGCATGGTAGCACCTACTGAACCATATGTGGAGAACTGGAATGAAATCCAGGAAGCAGCGGGAACGCTGGGTCTACATGTCCTGACATTAAAACATTCAGTTTCTGGTGGGAATGGCTGATGGAGCGGCGGCAGCTGCTCCTGATGGTCCTCAGGATTCAGGAGGCTATGTAGGGTAGGACGGTGACTCTGGCTTTTACACGGAAACGCTTCAAAATGTGGAAAAAGACGTCTTAACTGTTAATGTAAAGTATTATTCCTCATGCGTGTTTTATAGGGTTTTTACATTGTGTAAAGTATTTAGATTTACAAGAAATTTGAAAGGAAAAGAACGCGTGTAACATAAAAGCCCGCCTCCATCTAATCTACGTCTCTGTGTCACTTATTTCTGTGAAAGACCGTTGATCTTTTCAGAGGGTTAAAATCCCGGCACGGGTCCTCGTCGGCCACAAAAAGGTTTTAAACGCTAAAAAGTTCAGTTTTCTGTGTGCTGCTCAGAAATGGGCATCATTGGGTGCTAACCGTGTTTCCACTGCAGGAGTTCTGGGAAGTGAGGTAAGAGGGTGTGGTCCTCCCAGCTGAAACCGGGACTTTATGAAGACATCGGCGTATCGCAGCAGCTGCTCGGATCAGCGCCTAAAGGCATCCGTAGACAAGATCCTTAAAAAATTAGTTCTGTCAAAGAATCCTAAACTTGAACCCATTCTGAGGAACAGGATCGCAGCTCTGCGATGTAAAACAAGGCGTTTATTTCACGGTGCTCTGCTGGAGACCACAAAGCAGCAAAGATGACGGTGATGTGAGGACTTCTGCCATGTTTGGTTGGCGTTGGGAGTTTAGAAACAGTGGTTTTCGCTTCGCTTCACCAGCACCTCTTCCGCTTTTACAAATGCCAGTTTGGCGATGTCTACTGACGTCCACCGGGTTGCAGCCAATCGGCATGAGTTAAACACAAGTCCCGCCCAGGAACTCCACCGGAACATTACAAGGACATTCCCCAGTGCAGGTACTCTGTTGCTCCCAGGAGACCAGAAAAGGGCTCTTTCGGCCGGCCCACTAAATGTGGACACGCCCATGCCATGGAGGTCTGGAAAAACTACCTGTAAGTTCTGATGGTGGAACTGGACCTAAAGTATCTCGGGGGTCTTGTTCAAGGGCGCCCCCAAGCTAGAAAATTGCTGCCCCCCCAGCAGAAGCCAGTGTTAATACAGGGTAAACGCGGGTCCTTAAAAAGTCTTAAATTAGCTTTTCCAAATTTAAGGCCTTAAAATTCCTTAAAAATAACAAATAATCCTTAAATACAGTTTCCAAAGGTCTTAAATTACCAAAGACCCAATAAACAAGATTCTTTTATTTCTATAAAATTTTCGTGAATTTCTAGTTAGCGTTCAGCATTTTTTGTGTACGATGTTGGCATAAGCGGAACCGTACACATGCAGTTGATTGTGAAAGGGGGCTATTTTTAGATGGGCACATTAGCTGGTTAAGCTCGTGGGAGCTTGTACCGTGGGGAAGTGCAAGTTTAATGGTAACTGGGTGGTTAATCCCACGTTCGCGACGTGGTTAGCACCGGTTCCAGGCAATAGCCGGAATTTGTAGCTTAAATTTATTTAGAAAAATAGCTCAAATTTGGTCAAAGTGGCCTTAAAAAAGCTCTTAAAACGTCTTAAATTTGGCTCCCTTAAACCTGCAGAAACCCTGAATTAAATAATTTTCACTCAAACCATAAATTGATCTTATTTATTCAAGACATGATGGTAAAACAAAATAAAAAAAATATACAACTAATGAGTAAAGAAATAATCAGAATAAAAAATACACACATTTCTGTTACTCACCATTTAAAAAAGTTTTTATCTCCATAGTTTTTTTTGTGAACACAGCAACAGGTGAATGAAACAAAAAAAAACATAAAATTTAAAATAACAAATGTATTTTTATGAATTGTTTGTAAAATGTTTGGATACCTTTTTTGTAATAAAAAAAAACGAATAAAGGAGCAATGCAATACAATTACTTGTGCCACCCCAAAAATGTCTTTGGCCCCGTCTGGCCACCCCATCAAAATTTTCTGGAGGCGCCCCTGGTCTTGTTCATGAGAACGGGAAAGATGGAGTGTGAGATCGATAGGCGAATTGGTGCTGCGTCTGCAGTGATGCGGGCGTTGCACCTGTCTGTCGTGGTGAAGAGAGAGCTGAGCCGGAAGACAAAGCTCTCGACTTAACGGTGGAACTACGTTCCTAACCTCAACTATGGTCACGAGCTTTGGGTAGTGACCGAAAGAACGAGATCGCGGATACACGCGGCTGAAATGAGTTTTCTCCTCAGGGTGGCTGAGCTCTCCCTTAGAGATAGGGTGAGAAGCTCGGTCATCCGGGAGGGGCTCGGAGTAGATCTGCTGCTCCTAGATGTTAGGAGCCTGTTAATGTGACTAGGGCATCTGGTTAGGAGGCCTCCCTGGTGAGGTTTTTCAGGAACGTCAAACCGGGAGAAGACCCAGACGAAGACCCTGGAAACTGAAGGGAACATCTGGGCCTCTCTGCTGAGGCTGCTGCCCGAGAAGGGTATCGCTGCAGACCTGGAGACTGATGATTCAGGCCGACTGCAGATTCAGGCATGTTCTGTTTTTGAGACAGCGCCGCCCACTGTTTGCTAGCATTCCAAGATGGAGTACGATCGGAGAGTAAGTATAAAACGTGGATAACAGTATTTAATTTGTTGTTTAATGAAACCAGCATGTGTTTACAAACTACATTTCTAAACAAAATTTAATCCTGGAGTTTATAAAAGAAAACCAAAAACAAAATGGACCATCCAAAAATTTTTACTTTAAAATGTATTAAATTCATCATTACAAAGGTCCACGGCATTCTGCATTGAATTCATGATTCATATGTGTTTTAGTCCATCAAGGTGTTACGAGGTGGATGATCTACGGATGTCCAAAACCAGGAAAGTTGGAAAAGGTTTTTTTTTGTTTGTTTCTGCAAACAACTTCAATTAAATAAATATGATGAAAGTTTTTATCATTAAAAGTTACTCGGGAGTTGTCAAATTTGTACTCTGGGAGCTACTTCACTGAAGCTTTAACAACGAATAAACTATTCACATTTTTATGTAGAACTGTTAAATAGTAGAAGCCTGAATCTGCAGCAGGCGTGAATCTGCGGTGTCCAAGTCTGCAGCCTTCAATCTGCAGTTAGTCTTGAATCTGCAGTTGCAGTTACATGTTTGTCCTTTAGAGGGCGCTGTCTCAAAAACAATACAAGCCTGAAACTGCAGTCGGCCTGAAACTGCGGTCTCCTGCAGCCACACGCTGTGACTCGTCAGGCTGCAGGAATTAGGAAGTGTGTGTCCAACCCAACCGTTCCTGATCCAACCCAAAACAGGAGCAGAGATGTCAGCCTGGGCCCAACCGTCCGGTAAGAGGAGCCTCCTGCGGGGATTCAGAAAAGCGGTGTGCGGGAGCGGCTGTCTGCTGCGTGTTTTTATCAGTTGGTGTTTTTGTTTCTGCGGGTTTTGATGACAGAAGGGAGGACGGCTCTCTGGGAAAAGTCAGCGCGCTTCTGAGCAGCCTGGCTGGTGACATTTCACCAAGTTGTAGCAGGCTGCTTTGTGTTTTTAAAGTTCAAACGAAGCGTTGGAGAGTCTAAAAACCACACAAGCGAAGAAAATAACGCTGTTGTTTTGTTTTCCAGAGCTGAGGCTGGTGGTTCTGGGCCCGAAACGGGCAGCAAACCGAGCCGTTGTCTGCTCCATCCTGGGCCTGGAAGACACTCAGCAGGGCACAAATGCCCACGAGTGCAGTAAACACAGAGGAGAGGCTGCTGGCAGGAAGGTAGGAGGAACACGTGACTCTCACCTGTTTTCTAGGACTTTCGAGCTAAATGTGAAACATCTTTTCCTTACAAATATGTTTAAAACGTGTAATGTCATATTATTGCCACTAGGTGGCGACGTCACACCAATCTACCAAACCCATAAAAAACGTTTCTAACCTTTCCAAAGATTCTCCCAAAATGTTCTTCAGCATCGTTTAAGAGTTTACACGTGATCAGTTTTATGATGACAGGACCTGGATAGAGCAATTCCAATGAATGAAACAAAAATACTAAGCAAACACAAACTGTTGAGTCACCTTTCCTCACAAGCCATTGTCCATAACCCGGGTTTATGTAAGGAGACAGGAACCAGAGAGGTGGCTATAGTGGAAGTTCTGATCCATCCATCCTTCTTATTCGGGGTCGGGTCGCGAGGGCAGCAGCCTAAGCGGAGAAGTCCAGACTTCCCTCTCCCCAGCCACCTGGGCCAGCTCATCCGGGGGAATACCAAGGCGTTCCCTGGCCAGGTGAGAGACATAGTCCCTCCAGTGTGTCCTGGGTCTACCTTTAGGTCTCCTCCCAGTTGGACATGTGTGAAAAACCTCATCAGGGAGGCGTCCAGGAGGAATCCCAACCAGATGCCTCTGCTTGATGTAGAGGAGCAGCAGATCTACTCCGAGCCCCTCCCGGATGACCGAGCTTCTCACCCTATCTCTAAGGGAGAGCCCAGCCACCCTGAGGAGAAAACTCATTTCGGCCGCTTGTATCCGCAATCTCGTTCTTTCGGTCACTACCCAAAGCTCGTGACCATAGGTGAGGGTAGGAACGTAGATCCACCGGTAAATCGAGAGCTTCGCCTTCTGGCCCAGCTCTCTCTTCACCACGACAGACCGGTACAACGCCCGCATCGCTGCAGACGCAGCACCAATCCTCCTGTCCATCTCACGCTCCATCTTCCCCTCACTCGTGAACGAGACCCCGAGATACTTAAACCCCTCCACTTGGGGCAGGACCTCATCCCTGACCCGGAGAAGGCGTTCTACCCTTTTCTGACTCAAGACCGTGGTCTCAGATTTAGAGCAGCGGAGTCTCATCCCAGCTGGATTGTTTGCTCGTGTATTTGATGCTTTCTCGTTTACGGCTGCAGGTGAATTAGATCTAATTCACCAAATAAATGCGCTGAATCGGTCAGAACCCGATCCCACCACAACAGGAGAAGTAAGTTCTCTTCAGCGAACGGGAAAGCACACCAGCACCATCGCTAGTTTAACCCCTAATAGCTTCTTGGGCTGTGATGTTCTGATATATCATGTTTACGCTAAATTCTAAATAAACCCTTCCTGTTCCCGTCTAACCGAGTGGTTTCACCGCCTCCCTGTAGGTCCTAGTCATTTCCAGTCCAGCCTGGTTCAGCTCAGCCTGCTCCCCGGAGGAGAGGAGGAAACAGCTGTCATCCCTCGTCGCTCTGTCCACCCCTGGACCCCACGCCTTCCTGCTCTGTGTCTCCGTGAACCAGCCAGCTGAGGATGAAACCAAAGCACTCGAAGCCCTGACGAAGCTCTTCGGCCCCTCGGCGGTCAGCAGAAACACCGTTGTCCTCTTCACACACACTGAGGAGCTGGGGGAGGAAGAACAGCTGGAGGAGTACCTCGTCACCTGGCGCAAAGACCTCCTAGCGCTGGTAGCTAGATGTGGAGACCGCTACCACACGCTGGAGAGTCGTGGTGGAGAACCCGAGGAGAAGAGAGCTGTGGAGGAGCTGCTGGAGAAGGTGGAGCAGGCGCTGAAGGAGAGCGAGACTCCGCACCTCAGCTGCCAGCTGTACCAGGAGGCTGAGGATCGGGTGAGGGCGAGGCAGGTGGAGATGGTGAGGCAGAGGAGGGGGGAGGAGCACGAATCCCCCACAGACCCGGAAGTGACGGAGGAAGAAATGGAAGCAGTGCGCGAGGAGGCGGAGAGGAGCGTTGGGGATTTTAATCTAGATACCGAAGGAATTTTCTCCCTTTCCAGCATGCCTCCACCTTGTCACCCCCCCTCTCTTCTCGGGGGATTGTGGGGAAAGCTGACGGCTTGGATCAGGTGGCTGCCCTCTCTGGTGAGAAGGGAGGCCCTGCTGGGGGCCTTGGTGGGCCTGTTTGTAGGGGGGCCGTTCGGTGGGATGGTTGGGGCCACTGTGGGTTCTGTAGCTACTGAGGTGGGCAAAAGAAAAGCACACAAGGCCAAATGAGACGTGATTTTCTGTTTAGCACCGTGTCACCCCTTAACTGTCTACAGACTGCTGTTAGCTCAAGTGTAACTTTTACATTCAGCCCATTTCTGGGTGGGAGTCTGTGGTGGTAGTGTCATGGTTTGGGCTGTACACCAAGCACACCTAACACCTGTTTTCTTTGCTGAAAAGTGAAGCCATGAAATCCTGTTGATGAGAACTACCGTGCTGTATTTGTTAGCCATGTGTGCTCTCCACACGTGGATCTGAAAGCCCCGCCCTCTCCATGTCACATGTCAAACAAACGCCAAATAAAATATGGTACTTATGAGTTTGTATTTGAATATGCAACCGGAAGGCAACTAAACCAAAGTTCATTTCTGAAGGAAAATTAAACGAAGCATTTATTTTATTTTGGGAAAATGTCCACGGGACTGCAGTCAGCCACGGGTGGGGGTGGGGTGGAGGGGGTGGGGAGGGGGTGGGGGTGGGTGGTGGTGGTGGTGCTTGCTTTTTAAACTTTTGCTCAGTTTGTTACCAGCTCAGTGGGCGAGTGGTAGAGAGTCCGCCTTGGGACTGGGAGTTCGGGGTTCAAATCCCGATCAGGTCACACCAAAGACTTTAAAAATGGGACCCAACGCCTCGCCGGTTCACGCTCAGCGTTGGATTGGGGGGGGGGTTAAACAGGGATGGGTCTCAAGTGTGTGTGGGACTTAAAATTCTAACTCATTTCTAGTAAACTAGTCAAGGTTTTACGCAAACAAACGCCCCCTTGTGGCTGATGCCAGGACGCGTTTTAGGCTCCGCCCCTCCATGTGAACAGATGAACCATTTTCCCGATCATTATAATAAAGATAAACCTCACACGCATTTTCCAGAAGTTTGCCGTGTTGAATATAAAATTATTCAGGTCAAATTTAACCAAAACAAAAAAAATAAAATTCTACTCTAGCGTGGAACTTAGGCGTGGAAGCACGTGGTGAAGTCTGACTCTGGGCGGCTCTACCTCTCTTATTCCCGCTGTAATCTAGTAACTCATTCGTTGAGACAGTTCGAGGCTTCCTGGTTGGTGATCGTCTTCCTTTTATGCTCTTGATGCTTCTTTGGTGTTGAACGCTGGGCAGAGCCTTTTTCTGTGCAGTAAATCTGCTGCTAAAACTTCTGTTGCATGAAGTAAAAGTCAGAAAGAGCAGGATGACGTCCTTTAGCCGACCTCCAGACGAGGGATCACACATGAAGGTGGTGCACAATTCTGGATTTATTAGGCTTTTTCTCTCAGGCTCTGTAATGAAATAACGTATGTGGGTCCAAAGCCATTGAAAAGGGAGGGGTGACCTCACATTAGATGACACGGGCACGGCGTGGCGTACCAGTGGAGCGTTCCGTGCTCTAGCTAACGTGACATCACATTCTTCATGTGGTCTGATGTTACAAGTGGGGGAGGCTCGCTAACGACGCTCACACACTAACCTTTGGAAGGTCTGGTTCCAGCTGACAACAGGCGTGAGAAACCAGTTCATCCAACCTGCCGTCCGGTCGATCGATGCACCGTGTTGTTGTTGTCTGTAGATGTGTGACCGTGCCAGAGCTGTAAACTCCTGACCTGTGATCCTGCATTAAATATTTAAACAACACTTCAGTGTTCTTGTGGTTTTTATACCATGTCTCCCTGCTGAGGACCAGACAAGCTGCAGCCTTTCTGCATGGAGTTAGCGTGTCCTCCTTGTCAAATCAAATCAAATCGCTTTTATTGTCACATCACATGTGCAGGTGCACTGGTACAGTACATGCGAGTGAAATTCTTGTGTGCGAGCTTCACAGCAACAGTTGTGCAAAATACAATAACGTAAAAACAAGCAAAATATAAAAATGGCTAATCTTGTGCACATGTGCGTGTGTGGGCTCACTCTGGTTTCCTCCTGCAGACCAAAAACATGCATGTTGGCTTTATTAAAGGTCATCGTGTGTGTCTGATGACTCCACCTCATGTCTACTGGAGATGGACGCCAGCTCCTGACCCCGATGAGGAACAGAGATGAGTTAATAATGATGATTCATAAAACGTACGCAGCGCCTTATAGCTCCTGATGTGTTGAGGGAGCTCCAGATGGTTGGGGCGACGGCGACAAAGGCTCGATCTCCCGGGGCGCTGTGTTGAGTTCTGAAGGGGGAAAGAAGATTGGACACAATAGTTTGTGATGTCATTTTCACTGATCGTCCAAGGAGAGGTTCTGTGTTCATTGTTTTACAGAAAACTGATGATAAAAGCATTCCAAAACTTCAGTTTGAACTTTTCTTCTGCTTGCTTCTTCCTGCAGGTGACCAAACCCCCCCCCCCCCCCCCCCCCCCATGCCCATGACAGGTGGGCATAAACATCTGAACTCCTGCTTTAAAAAAATCTGACAGTAAAGATGGCAGAATGATGGCAAAACACAAAACACCTAGTAAAGAATATCCACCAGCTGATAACTTCGACTTCATGCTGGCACAAAACTAGGGATGAGCCGGACACTCGTTTCAGACGAGGTCTGCTAAATGAATAAACATAAACATAAACATGGTGTCACAATGTCGTTGTGAGCCTGTGTGTGTGTGTATTTGTTAGCGGCGCCGCCCCCTCGGTCTGCTAGGCAAGCAGCATTTGTTGCATTTTTCAAACAGGAAGTGGGAGTGGAGTAATACTCTGGTAGGGGGTGACTTGCTCTTTAACTTAGGATCAGCTGAATGGGCGCTCTTTTAGGGGTAAAAATAAACCTGCAGGAATAAAACCTTAAAAATTCCACATATATAAAAACTCAGGTAAATGTTTTGTTCTGAAATCCAAACATGCATTTTTTTAAAACTGTGCTGATATCCATCACATCTGATTTTTATTTCTGCACCATTTTGTCACAGATTTAAATAAAAATGGAATGAACGATTACTTAGAAACAATTAAGTGAAGAAACGTGTTTACATTTGAAACAGATCACATGTTTATTGAGCTCCTGATGAAAAACAAAGGCGAACTGTAGCTCATGTGGGAAATAAAAGTGAAGGGTGATTTCTACACATGTGTTCTTATAAAGTAGATCCAGTTCCTGATGGTCAGATCTGATCCAAAACATCTAAACGGTGATTTTGCACGAGTCTGGATGATAAGAAGAACCTCAGAAGGATCTAAACAACAATAACATTTCCCTTCGCTCACCTGAAACCCACTGAAACTAAAACAAGTTCAAATCAAAGTGAATTCACAACTCTTGACTCGGGGAGGTGAAATCAGAACCACATAAACGGGTCCGGAGGTGAAATGGTGACTCGGCAGCTGTGATGAACACGGATCTGAGAGCAGGAGCTGATCAGAGATCAGTTAGTTACCATTAATCTGACCTTTCTGTTTCATTTCTCTGATGATGATGTCAGAGCTTCGGCTTCCTCCAGACGATCACTCAGCTCCTCCTCCTCCTCCTCCTCCATGCACCTTCCAGACGACTCTGAGAGGATGGAGAACTTGGAGCAGGATGTGTTCTTCTCCGTCCTGGAGGGGATCACCCAGGAAGACCTGGACTTTTCTGTTTCTCCTCTCACACCTTCTCCTCCTCCTCCCATTGTTTCTCCTCCCACACTTTATCCTCCTCCCATTTTTCTTCCTCCTCCACATTCTTCTCCACCTCCTCCTATTGTTCCTCCCCCTATACCTCCCCCCTCCTCTTCTCCTCCTACACCTTATCCCCCTCCTCCTCCTCCCATTGTTCCTCCTTCTCCTCCTCCCACACCTCCTCCTCCCATTGTTCCTCCTCCTCCCATTGTTCCTCCTCCCACACCTCCTCCTCCTTCTCCTCAGGGACAGGTGAGACACTGGGACATCTTCATGGTTTTACATTAAAGCCGTTGCAGGAGGCTCTCGGGTCTTTTAGTCAAAAACTAAAAGCCAAATTTAGACGGAAGAGTTTAAAACATCAAAGCTGAGGAGGAATGAAGCTGGCTGGTTTGTAAAACGTTGGAGAAGCAAAAACATCATCGAGTGCTTTTATTCTCCTGATGCAACAACGAGGGAAGTTTTAACCTTCACTCGGTTAAGTTTTATAAATTCTTGATTGAACAAAAAACTCCTTTGGGAAAGTCACCTGAAGCTCCTCGGCTGGCAGCAGCAACATTATTCCCAGATCACTTCCTCAGTCTGGAATAATTCTGCAGCTTTTTCAATTGGGATTTTAAATTTTAATTCTAAAATGAATCTTGTTTTGTTAAATCAAAATTAAAATGACAACAGGTTAAAGAGGATTTCAACTGATTTACTTAAAGGTGAATCCTGCCCCCTGGTGGACAGGTGGCGCCACAGCAGGTTATTGTCACATCTGTTTTGTGTTTTTTGTCCCCAGATGTCCAACACACCAGCGGTAAAGCTGTCTGGAGCCATTATAATTCAGCCTGTGGGGATCCTGTCAGTGAAACACATCATTATGAACACAAAGTCTTTGTTTGGATGTTCTCACCTGTTGTGTCTGTTCTCTGTGCAGAGATGGAGAGGTCCTCTATAGAGTTGTCTCATACACACCACAAAGTCCACCAAATACCTAAATAAAACCTTTAAATCCTTTAGTTTTGAGCTAACAGAAAGCTAGCACAGAGCTAACAGACACCTAACAGAAAGCTAGCACAGAGCTAACGGACAACTAACAGAAAGCTAGCACAGAGCTAACAGAGAGCTAACGTAGAGCTAAGAGAGAGATAATGGCAGAGCTGCCAACTTTTGAACTTTTTCATGCACAAGAAGAAGAAAACTGAAGATTTTTGGTTTTTCTTTTGTGGATCCTGGGAGTAAAAGTAATGTCTTTGGAGGCAAAGCAAAGATCTAAAACCAGAGTGAGCATCAACGTGGCCTACGCTAGTTTGAAGAAGCTAAAAGAGATTCCAAAATCACAGACTATGGTGACCTTGGCTTTGCTGCTACTGGACTTGTAAGTAATAATATTTTTTCCAACAGTGTGGATCTTTTTACTTTGTGGTTTATTTTAGTATTAGTTGGCTCATGTTAATTTTAATTCAAGGAGCTGAGTTGGCGCTCGCAGCGAGCTGCTCGTCCTCCTTATGCAATGGAACCTTGCGTTTTATTGGCTTTTATTGGTGTTTTATTGGCTTTTATGTATTTTTGTTGTCTCTGATGCCTTTTTTGAATGACGTGGCTTCTCTGGTGACTTATGATCGAGCTGCGCTGCTGAGGCTTCATCCTCCCGTTGATGTAGTGGGTGCTGCGCGCTGGGAACCTCACGGATGGCGTTGCTGTTTGGACTGCCCATGTGCTCTCTCCCCCCAAGCCGTGATGTGTCGGCCCTCTGTCCGCCCCAGCTCGAGAAGGAAGCATCGGAGAAGATGGGGAAAGCGAGGTAGCCGGCACGTGAGACGTCGGGCTGGACTTCCTGGATCCCTGAAGAAGCGGCTGGTCCAAGTCGGCCCAGCTTCTGAC